CGTCATAGGGGGATGGCGTCGGGTCGTCTATTTGCTCTTCATCATTCTCTTTCTGGGACCCTGCATCATCAGCTTCTTCTTCCCTCCGGGAGTTCGAATCTTCTTCTTTCTTCCGGGATCTTGCGCTTACCTCCTTTGGGTCTGGTTATTCAACAATTGTACCACTTCGGAGGGTGATGACGCTAACATTCTCTATTGGATTCGGTTCAGTTTCTGATGGTAGTCTCCTTTGTGACTCTAATCTCCCCACGGCTTGAGTCAATTGGCTTATCTGTTTGTTCATCTCTTGGAAGTGGGCTTCAGTTCGAGTTTGGAATTTTTCCTGGGATAGTGCTAACCTCTCGACAATCAACTATAGTGATGTCTTTTGCAGCTGTTGTTATGGTGGAGGTGGTCTCGCTTGATAGCCTTGCTTTGGTCTTGAGTTCTGAGCATAGCTGAAATTCGGATGATCCATCCATCCTGGGTTGTATGTATTGTCGTAGGGATTATAAGCTCTTTAGGGAGGTCCCAGAAAGTTTCTGACTGCATTGGCTTGAGCTGATGTGTCATCTTGAATCAGTGGACAACCGTCTGTTGGATGATCAGGTAATGCACATATTCCACATAATCGGTTTTGTCCTGTCTTTCCTGCAATAAGAGAGTTTACGGCTTCAGTTAACTTGTATATTTTATTTTCCAAGGAAAATGAACTTATCTCATGAACCCTTCGAGAAGGTTCATTATTTGTGCAAAATTGTTGGGAATTTGCAGCCATTGTGGATATTAAGTCCCTAGCTTCGGTAGGAGTCATATTCACCAAGGCTCCACCGCTGGCAGCATCGATCATCTTCATTTCCAGGGGAGATAATCATTCATAAAAGTATTGAATGAGTGTTTGTTCGGTTAACCCATGTTGTTGACAACTAGAACATAACTTCTTAAACCGCTCCCAATAGTCGTAAAGTGACTCTCTATAAAGTTGTTTGATTCCGAGTATTCTCCTTCGTAATTCACTTACTTTTGACGCAGGGAAAAACCTGTCAAGAAAAAGACGAGTCATTTGAGCCCATGTAGTTACAGAATTAGGAGGAAGACAAAATAACCACTCTTTAGCCAAATCGGCTAAGGAAAAAGGAAAAGCTCGAAGTTTTATTTGGTCATCGGTTACTCCCTGTGGTCTCATGCTGGAGCAAACCATATGAAATTCCTTGAGATGTTTGTGTGGATCCTCGTTCGGCAATCCACGGAATGTAGGGAGGAGATGAATAAGGCCAGTTTTCAACTGGTACGGAGTTTCACCTTGGGGAAAATCAATGCTCAAAGGCACTTGCTCAGTAGGTGCCGCGGCTAACTCCCGGATAGTAGGATCGACCATCGGATTTATATTACTTGAATTTGATTCTTCTTCTGGATTTGTTTGTTGTCTTATTCTTTCCCGAAGCGTCTGTGCGTAGAGTCTCCTAGCTTTGGCTTCAATCTCCGGGTCGTACTCCACTAATGCTCCCGGATTAGACCTGGTCATAAATCAAAAGCAAACAAAAATTAGTAACTTTGGCAAAGTCCTCGGCAACGGCGCCAATTTGACAACTGTCGTTTCGATGTCAAAATAATTTCCTTCTTCTCGGATAATAAATAAGGGAAAATTCGTAGCGTAGAGAAGTAGGGTCAAATCCACAAGGACTTGGAAAATTCTTAATTTATGTCTGATTTATTTATGCCAAGCGCGAAATAGTAAGAATGGGGGGAATTTTGGTAAAAAGATAATAAAAGTGATTAGATAAATAAAAGTAAATAAAGGAAAAATAAGAAGATGAAGATTGTGAATAAATATGGTAAAAGTAGCCTCAAGCTTCGCTTTTACTCAATTTCCTTTAGATCGTCGAATAAGATTTTCTCTTCGGGATTAACGTCGGTTACTTTATCTAAAAGGGCTATCCCCGTGACTCTATCTTGTATACCGAATACCCAAGGCAATCTTTGATTCCGGCTTCGGTAATTGATTCTAACAACATCAATTGTCGTAGATCAATTACCGTTTAAGTTCGTAGCGACCGACTCAGATTGTGGCTTCAATAACCGTCAATTCCGATCTCAACTCCCTCTTGGCGAAGCCATCTCGCCAAGTGTGTTCCTAAGAAGTCGAATTGCTTTCTATAAGCCGAATCTTCCTCCCACATTTAATCGCAACAACCTCTTGACCAAAGCCAATCTTTGATTTTGAAAATTGTTTTGATTTTGAAAAATAAGTGCCGAAATTGAGAGACATATTCCGAAGATATTAAGGGTCTGTTTCAATTCTCTCGTTGGAATTGATTCATCGCGACAGCTCTCGACTTATGAAAAGTTTAGCTAAGCATGACAAAAGTCATACTTAGCATTTTGAAAACAAAGCTTGAAAAATAAAAGAAAAGTGTAAAGAACTTGAAAAGTAAAAAGAAAAGCATTTATAAAAACTAGAGAGAAAAGAGAGTTGTAATCTGAATGATGAGTTTAGGCTTACCCTAAGTGGGTATTTATAGTCTCTCAAAGCTTAAAGGATAAACAAAGAAAATAAATAAAATAATCCTAAAAGATAATTGTTTTTAATTTAAATTCAAACTTAAACTAGTCTCCTAATGCAACTCTGCTCGTCAATCTTCCAGAAGGCGTGCGGATGAAGTCTTCTAGAAACCGCCGCTGACTGGACCTTCTAGAAACTGCCACGTCAGACCGCGTCGTGCCCAGAGTCGTGCCCATGTCTCCAACCGTGACCAAATAATAAAAAAAAGTGCATAATTCGCCCGTTTTATCACTAATTCTGGAAAGTAAGGACATGCACGAAAATAGGCATAACACAACCAAATCAGCAGCAATAACTCCACAAAATCGAAGAAATAACGAACAAAGATTAACGATTCTGAACACTCATCACGTGTTGTGTTTGTAAACTAGCTACAGCTAGTGTTCGTATCGTATTTGTTTGGTTCGTATTAATAATAGCATGTCAATTATAAAATTACCTAAAGTTCATTCACGCTTCCAACAATAAAAATATAAAATAAATATCATTTCAACTCAAATGTCTTGCAAGTCACACTCTAATGAATGAAAAAGGAGAGATTTTTCAAGTACTTCACAATGTTTACCTAGTTGAACCCATTGTCTCAAGAGGAAAATGAGAGAAAATTTATCAACTGACTTCAATGGTAAAAGGAAACGTTGCTCTACCTAAAGGTCTCGGGTTCAAATAGCTACCTCTACAAGGAGTGTATGCGATGTTAATAGTTTAAGAAAATTTTAAATAAATACTACCATGTAATTACTCTAAATTAAAAAAAAAAGAGGAAGACAGATAGAAAGAGGGGCTTGAGATTTCTAACAAATTGCAAAGACCTTGACTTGGACAATTCATCGTTTTATAGTAATGTCCATTTTTACACGACAAAAGATATTTAACTCAAAGTCTCAATTCGTGTTTTTGTCAAAGAATATTCAGCCGCCGTGATCGTCGTTCTAACTTAAAATACTAGCATATTTACCGTTTAAAATACAATACATGTTTGTTTTTATTTGGAACCGACATGCTTTTCAAGGCAACCTATTGGTAACAGACTGAGGTTGTCTTGTCCCTTCAGTGTTTACTCTTAATTTGGACTTCAATTGTTTCTTTACTTATTTGATCTTTAAAGAAAAATTACCATAAAAGTATTAGGTAAACTTTAAATTCATATTGATTTGATTAATAAATATAATATACAACACCAATTATATTATAATGTTTATAAAAAAGGAAACACTAATGTCATGTGACATATAAAGAAACTGATATATAAGAAAAAAGATACATAAACAATGTATTGTTTGTCTTTGGCCTTGGTCACATTTCTCTTTCTCTGGGAGATTATGACAGTCTTTTACTTGTAAAAGGGTTGAAGTCTTCAGTTGTGACAAAGTATGAAATTACTTGTTGGAAAGGGTGGCCATTCGTTTGAATTAATCCCTTTCCAATGTCGCGTAATAGAAGGAATCGAGAGCAGCCGTGAAGAGTAAGTAATAGGCCTGTAAACGAACTGAACAGAGTATGCTCATGTTCGTTCATTTAACTTTAACCGAACAAATGAACGAACACGAACATAAACGAACAAAATTTTTTGTTCGTTAAGGAATGTAGCTTGTTCGTGTTCGTTCATGTTTGTTCATTTAAATGATGAACGAACACAAATGAACGAATATAAACGAACGGATGTAAACGAACATAAATGAACACAATAAATGAACACAAATGTAAATGAACACAATAAATGAACATAAACGAACGTAAACGAACATAAATGAACAAAACAAACGAACATAAACCACAACAACAATAATCACATAAAATTCATTAATATAAGTTGCAACTTCATAGTTAATTTGTATTTAATTGTTATGAGATTTTCTTATTTGTATTTATAATTAATTGAATTTTAAAATATTAATGGGTATCAGATTAAAATTTATTGGGCCTTAATACTTTAAATAGGTCTAGAGAGATTGAGCTAAATATAAATAAACAAACATAAACGAACATATTATCGAACGTTCACGAACATGAAATAACGAATGAGCTATCTGTTCGTGTTCATTCATTAATTAAACGAACACAAAATCTTGTTCATGTTCGTTGGTTTAATAAATAAACGAACATAAACGAACTTTCCACCGAACGGTTCACAAACGGTTTGCTGAACGTTCGGTTTGTTTACAGGCCTAATAAGTAACAAATGATACTGATTGATGAATATGTCTAATTCCAAATGATACTGATTGATGAATATGTCTAATTCCAATCAAAATTAGATTCTCAATGGGATGTATGGACCGCTGATGTACTGGAGACCAAGTCTTCCATTTTTGGCCTTTCTTTTCGTGTACAGGTAATTGTGCGTATTTCTTATTCAAATTGTGAGTCGAAGGATATCGTGTCTAATTATTTAGAATCAAAGTATATAAAGAGCATCGACCTAACAATAGAGAAGCATTAAAACTCAGTTGTTTCTCTCTTCATGATTTGCATTTTACCCACACCCAACCTTATGGCAAAAACTCCCTTCCTCATCCCTCTTATGTTTCTCCTGTTATTTGCAACCTTCAGGGCTACTCTGTCGGCCAACATCACCATTGATGAATTCGCCCTTTTAGCCTTAAAATCCCATATAACTCATGATCCGCACAACCTCCTAGCAACCAGCTGGTCCACTTCTGTATCTGTTTGCAATTGGATTGGTGTCACTTGTGGATCCAGACACCACAGAGTCATTGCTCTGAATTTGTCAAGTATGGATCTCACGGGCACCATTCCATCTCAATTGGCAAATTTATCTTTCCTTGGCTGGCTCGACATTCATAACAATAGTTTCCATGGCTCTTTACCTACCGAGTTAACTAATTTGCATCGGCTGAAATATTTGAACTTTGGTAGCAACAGCTTCACTGGTGTTATCCCATCTACTTTGGGCAATTTGTCAAAATTAGAAAGGCTGGTCTTGCATAGCAACGATTTCAAAGGGCAGATTCCTATAACAATTGGAAATCTATCAAACTTGGAACAGTTATATCTGGATTATAATTCTTTTTCAGGTTCCATTTCTTTCTCGATCTTGAATATATTTTCATTAGTTAAAAGTTGTTTTATAACTAACAATCTCACTGCAGGCTATCTAGAGTCGAAAATATTCGATAGCCTTTCTAATTTGCAAGAATTAAGGTTGGATGGTAATCAGATTTCTGGTAGCATTCCCAGCAGTTTATACAAGTGCAAAGAGTTGAGGTATATATCATTGTGGAACAACTCTATGGAAGGAAGTATACCTATAGAAATCGGAAATTTGACGATGCTCCAATCTTTGTATCTTGGTTACAACAACTTCAAAGGTAAACAATTGTTTTTAATATTAAAGCTCTATTAGTGCTTAACATAGAAATTGAGGGTCTGCTAGAAAAATATTAATAAATTTTGACGGAATTTAATCATACGTTTCAGGTGAAATTCCATCTGTTATTGGAAACCTTACTTCTCTTAAGCATATTGGCCTTTCTCATAACAACTTCTCAGGTAAAGATATGCTTAAATTGTAATTTAAACTATTTAGAGCTTTTATAAATGGTAAAATTATGATTTTGACGAATTTATTATATATTTCAGGTGAAATTTCATCGAATATTAAGAATCTTATTTCTCTTGAGTATATTGACCTTTCTAATAACACCTTAACAGGTATAATATCACATTTCTATTTTTTTCCTCTTATACAATTCATTATTTTGCTCAATATTAATAATTTTTTTCCTTTCTAATAAGGAAATGGCTTCTCATTACAAATCTTTTGTACGTTTCAGGTGAAATTCCATCGATTATTGGAAATCTTACTTCTCTCGAAAGGATTTACCTTTCTAAAAACAACTTAAAAGGTACCATATCGTATTTCTTCTCTTTTCTTGTACAAGTTCTATTATTAGTCATGTAAACATTTTTCAACAAATTGGGTTTAGATGAATTGAAATAATAGATTAAAGGTTGGATTGATACAATTTTTTATGTGGGAATTTTATCATAGTTTTAAGTGTTTTCTTTTCATTATGCTGGAAAATTGAAGTTTGGTTATTTATTCCGCAGGTTCTATTCCTTACTCAATCTTCAACATTTCCTCGTTGCAAGAGATTTCACTGGGATACAACAATCTCTTTGGTTATTTCTCTTCCGATATGTTTGATTATCTTCCTCGATTACATTATCTTAATTTGGAATATTGTCAACTTTCTGGAAGAGTTCCAATGAGTTTATTCAAAAACAAAGAGTTAAACTTTTTGTTTTTGGATAGTAATAATTTGGAGGGAATTGTGCCAGTAGAAATCTCAAATTTGACTTCACTCAAGTATGTCTCTATCGAAGATAACTACTTATCAGGTAAGCTAAATAACTCATCTTGCTTTAATGATGTACTTAAGACATAGATGAGTTACTAACCATTGAACATTTTTTAATAATAAATATTGTTGTAATTTGTTTTAACTTTTTTATTTAGTTTCTTCACCATAATAATATTTTTAGTAACTTTATTTATATGTTCCAGGAAAAATTCCATCAGTTATTGGAAACTTGACTTTTCTCGAGGAATTTGAACTTTCTGATAATAACTTAACAGGTATAATATTATTTTCCATTTTTCTTTACTTAGTTACATGTTAGTATTAGTAAGCTTTACTTAGTTACATCTTCCTTCAATAGAGTTATTTAATCAAAATATTTTATTTTTAAATTACAAACATTATTTATTTGTTTAAAAGATGATCCAAACTCCTAATTTTAACTCTGTTCCAAATTTTCTGCAAGGCCAAATTCCTCCCTCATTATGCAATCTGAGTTCCCTTAAGGTTCTCTTCTTATACAAGAATAGTTTGGATGGAGAAATTCCTGATTGCATTGGAAACATGAGTTCTCTTTCACACATTGACCTAGAGAAGAATAATTTTCATGGTAAAATACCAGAAAATTTTGGTAAGAGTTGCACCTTACACAGTTTTCGAATCAGCAACAACCAAATAGAAGGGTCACTGCCACGATCTTTGGGTAATTGCAAAGAGTTGAAGCTTCTCGACGTTGGGAACAACTATTTGAATGACACATTCCCAAATTGGTTAGGAAATTTGGATCAACTGCAAGTGCTTATCTTGAGATCGAACAGATTCTATGGTGAAGTGGTTAGCTCAGGAGTTACAGTTTCCTTCACTCGTTTACGTCTCATTGATATTTCTCATAACAATTTCAGTGGCTATTTACCTATGAAATATTTTGAAAATTTGCATGCCATTAAAGAAGGGAATGGAAAAAAAGATAAACCAGAGTACATGACAGATGGATCAGCATTGGGAGTGTGGAATTATGCCATCAACATATCTTTTATAATAAAAGGGTTGGAAACAGAGTTTGAGGAACTGCTAACTATATGGACAGTTATTGATTTTTCCAGCAATCAGTTCTACGGAGAAATTCCTAAAACACTTGGAGAGCTTCACTCACTTATTGTCTTGAATCTCTCTCATAATTGTTTAACAGGTCATATTCCATCATCATTAGGTGATATATCAGAGCTTGAATCATTAGATCTCTCATCAAACAAGCTCCATGGAAGAATTCCAACAGAGTTGAAAAATCTTGGGTTCTTAGCAGTGTTGAACCTTTCTCAGAATAATCTTGTGGGGCTCATTCCTCAAGGCAAACAATTCGATACTTTCACAAATGATTCCTACATAGGAAACCTGGGTTTATGTGGATTGCCATTATCAAAAAGTTGTGATAATGAAAAGGGAACTCCAGCCAAGTTTGATAGAGATGATGATGATGGAATGAACTGGAAATTTTCAATATTGATGGGGTATGGATGTGGGTCGGTGCTGGGACTGAGTACGGGATACATTGTATTCGCAACTGGAAGACCACGGTGGTTCATTAAGATCTACGAGAGAGTTCGACAAAGATTTGCAAAAAGGGTAAAAAAGAGAAGTCGTTGACGGATTTTTGTTGCAAAACAAGCAGTGGACTGGACAGATCAGAAAACTTCAAGGTATGGTGGTTGGAAGCAGTGACCGATCCAGAAATTCGAAAATGAGATCCAAAATTTTAATATACTTTTTTTTGAAAAAGAAATTGAGTATACAAATTTCTTTTGTTTTTCTCTCTTTTCCTTAATACATTAAACTAGTATTTACAATTTTCCAAAATAATGACATGCACTTGCTTCCTAAGGACTTAATCCATCTGCCCCTGGTTCAGGTCCTTCTCGATAGCTGTCTTATATATAATTCCCATATCCTTTAGTAGTGGACTTACCCAAATCACTTTTGTCACCAGTATATTCGGCTAGTGTGAAAAACGTATAGTAATTTCCCTACTATGTTACGATACTCGTGTACATCTTTAAGTGGACTGACTGCATCCTCTCACAAATCAGATGATGCTTCTTATAAACTAAGGAATGAAACAAAGATGGATTTCTACAATTATAAAATTGAATAAGAAAGTACTCATTCACAGAGCTGACATGAACACCTCAACTAATTCAAACATAAGCATGCATGATATTTTGAATACGGATATTAGAGTGAATCTAATTGTATGTTTCAGGTGAAATTCCATCGGATATCGGAAATCTTATTTTTGTTGAGGTGATTAACCTTTCTTCAAACAACTTAAAAGGTATTGTACAATTCTTTCTTTTGCTCAACAGAAAGCCATAACAGCATTTTTTTTTAAAAACGGCTTAATTTGAAAATCAAACCTACCAATAAAGAATTCAATAAGGATTGTTCCATTAACAGCACCTTTAGATCATATTTTTTGCTCGGCAATTTGATATTATTTAATATCTTAAACGTCTAAAACCAGATTATGTGTCTCGTTAAAAGCCTTTCTAATCCTAGTTGAAGGAAAAGAGTACACACAACCTGGAATAAGACTAGATACAAAGGACCATCGCAACCAAAATACAAAATACACGTCTTCCATTCAAACCACAACCATGTTCATATTTGGAGCTATCATAAGCAGTAAAAAATGAATGACATTTTCATATTTAAAAAGAAAAAAAAGAAACAAAGGATGACGTGATTAATCATATAAACATTTTCTTTAACAAATTGGCTGTAGATGATATAAAATCACTGGTTAAAGGTTGGATTGATACAAATCTTCTACATTTGATCATAGCTTAAGACTCGTTTTTTCTTTTAGTATGCCTCAAAATTGAAGTTTTGCTTATTTTTTGGGCATGTCCTATTTCAATGAGTTTATTCAAATGTAAAAAGTTAGAACAGTTGTATTTGAATTATAATCATTTGGAGTGGACTGTACCATTAGAAATCTCAAATTTAACTTCACTCAAGCTTTTATTCATCCAAGAAAACAATTTATCATGTAAGCTTAATAACTCATCATGCTTCAATATAGAAGAGTTTCATGTCAAAAAATATATATATAGAGAGAGAGGTGGCATTTGTTTTGTAATACCCAAAATTCGATTAGTGTCCGAAATGAAAATTTAGTGACCAAAGTATAAATTTTAAAAAAGTTTAGGAATTAAAATAATATTTTTCTAAAAATGACTTTTATCTCGTAAATGAAAAGTTTACCTTCAAGTATTTAATTTTGGTGTTACGCGGACTTTTGGAACGGAATGACTAGGTAAGAGAGTTTTTTCCTATGGTATGAAAAGACTCTTGATTTGGAGTTGGGTAGAATTTGTTTTGATTGAATGAATAACCAAACAAAACAATTCAAATGTTACCACCTAGCTTGTTTATTTATTACAGAGTGGATTTTATTTTTACAATTGATTTCAAGTTTGATTTTTAGAGCTAATTAAAAATAATAAAAATGTATATTAAAAATAAAATCTGGATTAAAATAAAAAAATAATTCAAATTGTATAGTAAAATGTTCAAATTCAATTTTCATTATAACAAGATTTCAATATTTAATACTTGACTTTAAACAATAGATAGATGTTAAGTCGATTTAAAAAAGAAAAGAAAATGGCGTGATTAATCATTTAAACATTTTTTTAAACAAATTGGGTGTAGATGATATGAACTTAAGAGTAAAGTACACAAATGGTCCCCGACTATAGGGTGTTGCTTTGTTGAGTCCCTCGACTATTAAAAGTTACAAAATAGTCCCCTAACTATAGCGTGTTGCTTTGTTGAGTCATTCGACTATTAAAAGTTACAAAATGGTTGTCTGACTATTTATATGTTTCAAACTCATCATTTTTCGTTAAAAAATTGATGACAATCTGAGCTGGATGTTACTTATTGATTGAGATATAATAGTCGTTTGAGATTTTGGGATCATGTTTTATCATATCAAAGTCAACATGTAAACATTTAGCTCAAACTGATGTCAATTTTTAATAGAGAATGACGAGTTTAGAATATATGAATAGTCAAATGACCATTTTGTAACTTTTAATAGTCAGGAGACTCAACAAAACAATACCCTATAGTTAGGAGGACCATTTGTGTACTTTACCCATGAAATTATTGGTTAAAGGTTGGATTAATACAATTCTTCTACATTGGTTGAAGGCTCTCCTTTTCATTATGCCAAAAAAAAATCTAAGTTTGGTTATTTATTGCGCAGGTCATATTCCTTCGTTAATCTTCACCATTTCCTCTTTGCAACATATTTCAGTGGGATTCAATAATTTCTTTGGTTCTGTCTCCTCCAATATGTTTGATTATTATCCCCAATTACTTCGTCTTGATTTGGGAGGATGTCAACTTTCTGGAAAAATTCCAAAGAGCTTATTTAAATGCAGAGAATTACAATATATATTTTTGGATTATAATTATTTGGAGGGGATTGTGCCATTAGAAATCTCAAATTTGTCTTCACTCAAGGCTTTCACCGTCGAAGAAAACAACTTCTCAGGTAAGCTTAATGACTCATCATGCTTTAATAATGTACTTAAATATAATAGAGTTATTTACCATTGAATTTTATTTTGTTTATATTGTTGTAATTTATTTTAACCTTAAAATACAAATGTAAAATTATCATATCACTATACTCATCAAGACATAACATAAATATGTCATCAAAATATTTTGATGAATTATTATTTTTATATGTCTTAGGTACAATTCCACCGATGATCATATATATGATTTCTTTGGATGTCCTTGATCTTTCAAATAACATCTTGACATGTATAATATAACTTTCTTTCCTCTCTTTGTTATTATTTTATTATATATTTATTAATTAGTTGTACAATGTTTTGTCATTTGATGTGTCCTTTTGTATTTGAACATAAATAATCTAAATATTAAATTCTAATAAATTAATTCTAAAATTATATAAACTCAAAATGTCTTTTTGTTTTCCAATTCAAAATAAATTAAACTAAATTTTCTTGATTTTTCTAATTGTGAGTTTTAAATATTATTAAGGTATGGTACATCAAAAGAAATTAACAAAATCCTTTTCAAAATCAACTATATTTATTGTTTTATATACCCTAGTAAAAATGGTATAAATAGATGGTATTTGCTTTATATGGCCAGCATTTGGAGAGTGAACCGTTTTCTCATTATCGTCTTTTTTGTTGGTGAAAGATAGTAATTGAGTTATTCTCCTTCCTCACTATGCAATTTGAGTTCCCTTATGGCTCTCTCTTTATGGAACAATGGTTTGGATGGAAAAAATCCGGAATGCATTGGAAACTTGAGTTCTTTCATTTCACACTTTGACCCACGGATGAATAATTTTCATGGTAAAATACCTGAAAATTTTGTTAAAAGTTACAGACTACAAGCGGTGATGGCCACGACCAACGGTGACTGGTGACCAAAAATGGGTTTTCACGAACAATTTTATGCGATTTTACGACGATATGTGGGGTATTTAGAGTAGCTGGCGGTCGGAGTTTGATCAGGGAACGATGTTCGTCACGATGGTGGTAGGGTACACACTACGGACGGTGGAGGGGTGCTCGACGGTGAGAGGCTGACGATGGAAGCTTTAAGGGTGTTTTGTTTCTTTTATTTGAAGAACACCGGGAGGAAATCATTCTCAGCTAGATAACTTAATAGATATTTTTTAATAACTTAGACACCACAGTGACCTAACCTAGATGGTAAGGTGATGGCCTCCTATATCCTAGGTCGCGGGTTCAAGCCTCCGAACCACCCCTTTATTTTATTTTGGTGTTAGTTGATATTTTTGGATTATGGGCAAATTATAGGGCTAGTCCCTAAACATTCTAGATATTCGAACTTAGCCAAAAAAATTTCAGAATTATCCAATTTGGTCCCTTAGTTTCATTAAATTTGGGGTGTTACGATTCTCCCCTCCTTAAAACAAATTTCGTCCTCAAAATTTACTCAAGTCATAAAAATGTAAGAACTGAGCTTCCATTCAGTCTTCATTCTCTTAGGTATCTTTTACAGGTATATGATTCCTCTACTATACTTTAACCTACTGCTTATGCACATATCTCTTCTTTGTCTAAATCCCAGAATCTAAGCATTATTCTCCTCACAAAACCAAACATACCTTAATTATCAATCCTTAATCAAAATATCACTTGTTTACTTTCAGTGCAACATGCTTTTCTTTTGTATGTGTAGCATCACCTCGAGGCTTGCACTTTTCCCAAGTATTCGAACATTTACTTAAATCTCATATAGATCAAATCATTGAGGTACAAAGCTCATCACTTATTGGGTTTCAAACACATAAAGTTGGAGTAAGAATGATTCCAAAAATTCTTCAATTCCATTCATCGATACAAAACTTTAGCGGGAAAACGCCTTGTCTAAGCTTTGACCAAATACATTCTTCTTCAATTCATTTGGGTACCATTTCTTAATCTCGAAACTTCACTTATAAAATTAGATTACGAGCTTATCTACACCGAACGTTGAAGAGCAGTAAAACTCGTATTCAGGTCGGGAGGCGGGTCAAATTTTTTTAAACAAACAACTTTTACGTTACTCACGAAGCGATTTTCAGAATTCAGACAATGTTAATGACATTATTTTCCTTCA